CTCTGCCAATCCCTCCACTGGCTTCCATCCTCCGTCCCTCTCTGCCAATCCCTACACTGGCTTCCATCCTCCGTCCCTCTCTGCCAATCCATACACTGGCTTCCATCCTCCGTCCCCCTCTGCCAATCCCTCCACTGGCTTCCAATCACCCAAAGGATAACATTCAATATATTAACAACCACTTACAGAACAATCCACAACTCTCCCCCGTCTAGATCTCCAACCTCATCTCAAAGTATCACCCTAACCAACCTCTTCGCTCCTCCCAAGACCTCCTGCTCTCTAGTTCCCTTGCCAACTCCTCCCATGCTCGCCTCCAGGACTTCACTAGAGTCTCCCCCATCCTCTGCAACTCTCTACCCCAACCTGTCCGTCTATCTCCCACTCTGACTGCCTATAGGCGATCCCTTAAGACTCATCTCTTCAGGGAAGCCGATCCCACCTCAACCTAACCGCTCAACCATCACGTTCTCATACAATCCATCCCCACACAGCTACCTCCTCCTGTATCACTGGCCCCTCCCCTTTTATATTGTAAGCCCTCAGGGGCGGGGCCCTCCTTACCATCTTGTCTTGATTTGTATTGTGATTGTAATGTCTTCCTCATATTGTAAAGCGCTGCGCAGACCCGTTGGCGCTATATAAATCCTGCGTAATAATAATAATTGCATCACCTCAGGCTGCACGCTGATCAATTTCCAATCCGTGTTGCAGGTGGACCTCAGTCACGTGTACGGGGACACGCTGGAACGTCAGCACACGCTTCGGCTATTTAAAGACGGAAAGCTGAAACATCAGGTGCGTGAAATGAAGCAAAGGGGGCGTGTCTGTGCCAGGCCGTCTATGTGTGTTATAGTCACTGCGCCAAAACCCAAATCCAGCTACTATGTGATGCACCAAAAAAAACTTCCTTTCCCTCCCCTGACTGAGCCAAATCCTTCATTTGTCTCACTCGCTCCCCCTCCCAGGCACTGCAGCTCACAGTGGGAGGGTTTTAGCAATAAAGGCAGTGCTGGCAATCTAGATGGCAGTGGTTGGGAATGGGTGTGACCAGGTGATGATTGACGGTGACAATGCTAATAGCCAATGCTAATAGCCACGCCCCCCTGGAACATCTTCTCATGCCACGGTAGTGCAAGCAGCACAGTCTCTGTAGAGCCATACAGTAGTGTTACTATAATAATAATAATAATTGGTAACAATCATAATACTAGTAAAAATAACACCCCAAAATAATAAAAATATAATTGTTATTTTTATTATTCCCATTTTAAGTAATTATTATTATTAAT